GCGGAAACAATAGCGTCATCACTCTTCTCTTTTTACCTCCATGGTTCTCCTTTGCAGCTAATCCTCAATCAGTGAAAAAAAAAATCAAACTTTCCTGATATTTTGTTGCAGTGGTTTTGCAACTTTTGTTATTCATATAGACTCGGTCAATGCATTTGCAGTCGGCTGTGTAAAACCAACCCTCAACATGAAGGTAGCTAAATCTGTACAGTTCTCATATAAATTGTGAAATCATTTAAATAACTAACTGTCTTTATGTCAAGGAATTATCTCTTGATCAATTGTCTGTCTCTCAGGTGAATTCTCTTGATTTGGAGATACTGGTAATCTCCATTTTGGGGGAAAATGTCTTAAAGGTACAACATTGGGTTCGTGATCCACTTTTGTCTAGCACTCTGGTTTTAAGTGGAGTTAAGCCAGTATAGCCAGCATGCTTGAGAAATTATGTAAAGATTAATTAACAAGACTGAAATTTTAATAATCCAGAGTGACAGACGAGTTAATCTTTCGCAGAAAAGTCAACTATTCAATGCTGCAGCAAATCATGTCTGTAAACTCCTAATTTGTACCAAAATATCAAATAGTTACATTGACCCATGATTGACCACATGTTCATAAACACGAATATGTATATTTCACCACAGTCAGAGGGACTGTGATTTCACCTTTCTTCGGGGTCTGTAAGTAACGAAAATTGAGGGAATCGCGGAAGTATGTGATGCTCACTAGAACTACAGTACATTGAAAATGCATATTACCCACTTATACTATCATTCCATGTCAACGGGCTCGTGACTTTTAAGTCAAAATAAATAAAATTTACTGAAATAGACGGCGTTGTTTGTTGTTGTTTTATTTGTCAATGAACCGTCCCGTGGCCAATGGTAGCTGCAGTGCCTGCAGTTCTGTAGCTATGTAGTTCTGTACCACGACGAACGAAATAACCGACAGCAAAACCAAGTGAGCTACAGAACTGCAGCTAGGCCAATGGTGGGTATGTGAAACTGGTGTACATTTTACACCCTGCTTTTACAACGAATTCGCTTGGTAATCATAGTTTTTGTTCCTGTATATGGTACACCTTATGTGTATATAAGTCGTTACATTACCTGACCAAAACATGGTGTTCGTATGTTCGCCATGATCAGACTCCGATATTCAGCGAAAACGAAAGAAACAAAATCACAGTGCATGTGAAGTTGTTTTGTAAAACTGCGCAAAACCAAACAATTCGAATTATGCGCACTTTTTCTGTTGACCAATCAGATCGCTTGTTGCTAGTCATATACCTTCTGACTCAAACCCGGCTCAAAAAAGGAACTTTAAAAATCTAATATTTCCATAATCATTTTAAGGTAAAAGGAACCGCATTTCGT